GAAACATGGTTAAACAAGGTTTGAGATGTACAGAACCAGAAGATGGCCTATGGAAAATTCTTCCAATTAAAAGACATGTAAAAACTTACAATACTCCACTAATAAACTTAATTCATATATCAGGACCCACAAAATGGAGGCTGCCCCAGTGGCCCAGCCACGTTACAAATCTAAACCTAAGTCAGCCCGTACTTACCGGAAATGCCTCCCTGTCACGTAAACCTAACACCAGTCACAATCCAGCTCAGCTGTAGCTAGCTTACCTGACCCGAGGAAACAGGACCTGCCAGCCTTAGGAGGAAATTCCAGTCTCCTAGCCAATCATGTCTTAGTTCTATGTGTCTCTTCTAACGCTCTATAAAACTTGCTCATGCAAATCCCTTGGGAAGAGCACCCCACTGCTTGTTAGGCACTGGACTCCCCCAATCCACCGATGGTTTGCCCCTAAATAAAGGACAGACTGGTGACTAAATTGTATTATTTTTATTTGACACCACTGTTGGGAAAATATCAACAACAAACTAGTCAATGAGGGTTGTCAATTAAAACGTAAAAGTATTTTAGGCTTATTCACTGCACAAGAAAACTTGAAATGCCTTGAAATCTTGCAGTTTATATATTAAAGAAACTAGGAAGACATTTTTCCAAATTTGACAACAATCCTAAATTTTACTTGACATGAACAATAATGAGTCGTACAGCGGAAGGGGAGGGAGCAGGGTTGGGAAACAATATCAGGTTTTGGCTTAAGGGAAATCACAGTTCACTGATGTTAGGAACATAGAGGAAGAGTCAGGGTGGTAGTCAGTTAAGTCTTGTTTTGCATAAGTTGAGTTTCAGATATGAGGGGACATCTAACTGGAACTCAGTGGAGAGGCTGGGGTTAGAAACAGAGATCTGCAAGTTACCAAAACACAAACAGAAGCTGGGAGTAGATGGGATAACCCTGGGAGCAGAGAGGAGTGGATGATGGAGTGGGACACTGGGAAAACAGTAACAGTGAAAGGGCTGGAGGAAGAAGGGGAGCCTTTAAAAGTGATAAGAACTGGTCTAAAAGGCAAGGAGAACACTAAAGAGTCTAGTGTTCCTGAAACCATGGGAAAAGTGAGTATTAAGGAAGTGGTGAACAGTGCCAGACATCTCAGAGAGGTAAATCATAACGAGAACTGAAAAGCATCATTGGGTTGGTAACTCAGTCAACTATGACCCAATGAGAACAGCTGCAGCTGAATGGCGAGGCTAGAAGCTAGATCACGGTGCACCAAAGAGTAAATGTCTTCTAAACTTCACAAGAACAGTTACCCTGGTCACCTAGAAAACTAATCTGTAAAACACAAATTGCCAGCAAAGAGTTTTCCACCAGTTCCTTTAACTGAGCCCTCCTGGAGCTCCCTGGAAAACAGGCCCAAGAGTAAAGGGAAGATTTATTTGCATCACACTGGCCAGGCCACAGCCTCCTCCCTCCCTGTTCTCTTCTTCTCAAGCCCAGGATTTCTCCAAGCAAGTACACTGCAAGGGTTTGTTTCTCCTTCCCCTTACCCCTCTAACCCTACCACCTAGTCAAGCACAAATGAAAATCCAAGTCCACAGGGGTGGTGGGTGGTGGGATGAAGAGCAGGCAGGTGAAGGAATCTGGAAGAAGGAAGCTGTTATAATTACTGATATAAAGTATATGTGTATGGGGGGAGAGGGGGAATCCAATGTTTGTAAATTTGAACCTGTCTAATTCTATAAACAGAATTAATCAGATACCTAATTTACACTTACATGACAAAAGTTTACCGTCATAAAGCCTAATCTCAAAAAACAAACAGTGGAAAGCATTCCTAAATTCATTGAGTTAAGTTTCAAGTATACACAACTTAAAAGTGAAATTTATTTTGTGGAGGAGGAATGGTTCAACTTCTAACACTTTCTAATACTTCTGTCAAACAGAGGGAAGTACAACTTTCCACAAGAGACGAATTTCAGGCAGAGCATGAAATATTCGAGTTGCACCATGACACTACCAATAAATATAACCACCAGACTGGACTGTTTTTTAAAAGTATCTGGTGTAACCACTTTTCAAAAAACTTCTATTCATCTTGAGGGCCCTAAGTTATCTATGTGTTCCTACTGAATAAATCATAAAGAAACTATGGATGGGCTGATAACAAGGAAATCATTTCATCTGACATTTTCTAGTGATACTGCAGTGTGAGCAAAAATGACATCGTATCACACCAATATTAAATTATCCCCTTGGTTCACTGATGCTCAGTTGTTGCAGAAATATAATTATATAACAAAGAAGGAAAAGGTAAATACACCAAACCCTTAGAACACTTTGTCTTAATTTCAAAAAGCTGTTTGTTATAAAGAAATCCTGTAAAATCTTCCAAGGTGCTATGGGTGTTTTTGTCATCATCAGTTTTGCTTTTTTCAAATTAATTGGTTAGAAAAACAGCCTATTAGTTCTTTATAACAAACGCTGACTCGCTTTGTGCAGGATAAAGAGTGCCTCAATGCCAACAGCTAACATAAAAAGAATAATTATTGCCTAGAGAAGCCAAAATATACTCCACCAATCACAATAAACAGTCAAATTGAAAAAAGCCACTTTGGACCCTGAAACCTCTGGTTTACGTATAATAAAATCCCACTATACTAGTAATTTCTTCATGTAACAGTATTTTTTACAGTATTTTAAAGTGCTCACATCTCCCCCGCGATTCTCACAGTAACGAGTTGAAGAGATAGGCCATTACTACACCCACGTGTAGTAATTTCAGTAAACTTAGATTTCTCAGAGCACCAGGGGCCAAGATCTCACTGCCACTCAGAACAAAGGCATCCCAAAGGTCACCACACACATGGGAACTCGGCAGAAGTCCACAATGTATGCTGGTGAAGCTCCTGACAATAGACTGCGCTCTAGTGTGGGTAACATGCAGCTGAATCAATGAACAGATGCAACTCAATATAATATATAAATCAACTTTAGAAGGTATCAAATTTTCCACTTCCCAAAGCTCCCCTAACAACTCATACTGTCCTACACTCAGGACCTTGGACTAATCTGCAAAGAGACCAAAAATAGCATGCCTGTGGTCACCTGATTAGTTCGTAGCAGAGTGGAGAGTAGGGCCAGGGCTCTAGTTCCCCAGTTCCAAGCCATTATTGCTTCAGCAGAGGGTAACACAGTAACGAAGAACGACCCACGAAGCCAACAATTAACTGGGGCACAGCCCTGTGTAGCTGAGAAGAGACAGCTAAATCTGTTTCTAAACTGTTTTCTACACAATACTAAAAAAAAGTATACCTGGAGAGCCCTGAATGGGCAAAAGGAATGAGAGCTCTCTAACTGTAACGCACATACAGTCATGCAGGCATAGAAAGTCTACTGTTTTTAAGGAAAAACAAAACCAAACAAAGATCAATGCCATTGCAGAGCCTACAATAATAAATGTCTAAAAGTCCTGAACGAGATTTTTGCAAGGTTATTAACTAAGACAAACCATTAGAAAAATCTATGTGGTCAAACCAATTTAATTTAAACGAAGTGTTTGACCGAAATAGCAACATCAAGAAAGATAAGCCCAAAAAGCTTAAAAAATAAACAGGGTTGACCCTAAGAATAAATATTTGCCCTGAATTCTACGATAAAGGGTAGCACTTCATTAGATGAGTAGCCTTCACACTGCTTTCAGAAATACAGCTATTAAGCTCTCATTAAATTCACTGCTCTCTATAACCCAACACATTAAATGTAAAGTACAATGTTCCACGACAACAGGAATATAGAATGACACAGACTTTATTTTACCTGCACAATCCTTAGTAATCAAAAAACTAAGTTATTTTAATTTATTAAAATTTGACCTATAGCTCTCTCCTTCATCACAATCATGAAATGGTTCTTAGTACCTAGCTTTCTCACCAAAAAATAAAAGCATCGGTTTTCTCTATGATGCCAACTTTCTTAAATACAAAGAATAAATCTCATGGCAAATAATAGTAGACACCATTTATTGAGTGCCTCACGTGTCACAACCTGTGCCACTAGTTTTTATGCATTATCTCATCTAACCCTTAAAACAAAAGTCACAAAAGAGAAGTGACTGTGTGAGCCACCCAGCTAGAAAGCAACAGAATCTGGATATGAACTCAAGTACATCTAAGACATTTTTACTCACTGTCTTATTGCAAATTCAACCAATCAAACAGTCCAGGCCCTGAAGCACCAGAATTGATCTAAAGGCTATCAAGCACTGAGCCTAAGAGAATTCAAGAATCTTCAACAGTGTTTTGCAGTCCCTTTATCTCTGGTTTTCAGAGAAATATGAAAGTGCGAGAGCAACTCCGAGGCAAGGTTGGAAAAATACCTGCACTTTGACATCATTCTCTAGAAACTGTATGGGGTCCATTCTTAACCTTTTCAGGAATCTGATAAAAGCTATGGATTTGATAAAAAGCTATGGATCGGGGCTGACCCCGTGGCCGAGTGGTTAAGTTCGCGCGCTCCGCTGCAGGCGGCCCAGTGTTTCGTTGGTTCGAATCCTGGGCGCGGACATGGCCCTGCTCGTCAAACCACGCTGAGGCAGCGTCCCACATGCCACAACTAGAAGGACCCACAACGAAGAATATTACAACTATGTACTGGGGGGCTTTGGGGAGAAAAAGGAAAAAAATAAAATCCTTAAAAAAAAAAAAAAGCTATGGTTAAAAGCTTTGTATGTGAAGAGATTCACATGCAAAATTTTGCATTATTTTAGAAGTTTCAGACTCCTAAAGTCCATCTACACATTTTAATTTTAAAATTCCCATTTGATTGGACTAAGAATCAACAGAATGAGGTTAAGGAAGTGCAAACTGACACAAATAAGAGTTCTTTGGAAATTGTTTTAAATATTAGCACAACTCTACTCATGTCAATGATCCTAGTTTTAATGCTTCAGACAAATCTACTACAAAGACCTCATAGAAGAAGAGTTTTAGATGCCACCACTGATACTTACCGTTTTCCTGTGCAATTCTTATCATTCAGGCCGCCAACCTTGTTTATGGCAGACCAGGCTGTGAGAGCCACATATGGCAAAGAGGCAGCTTGAGTATGAGTGAGAGATCTGGGCTTGTGAGAGACCTAGATTTAAAGACAACAGTCAAAAATAAGCAATGATTTGCAAACCTTTGAACACAATTAAGTACATTTTCCTTCATAGGAATCCAACTATTTTCTGAGAGAAGTCTTGAACATTCTGCCAGGTTCAGTGTTTACTGCATACCCTACTCCAAGATGATCCCTAAGGAGTATTCTCCAAATGAGTCACCCTGCCTCGCAGAGGTTCAGGAATGCTTTATGGGCTACATTGTCAGATACAGCTGCTTATGCTTCATAAAAAGACCACATGCGACATCCCCATTAGTCCTGACTATACCCAGAAATAAATCCAAATAAACCTTGAGCCCTCATAAACACATTCTAATTTGTTTTTGAGATCAGCTGTTTCCTTTATTCCCATTTACTGGAAGGTAATCTTTCCAGGCTTTTTCTAATCTCAGTAATACCCTATTTTCCCTTCCTGCCCTCCCTTCTATAGCCAATTTCCTCAATGTTAACCCCTTCCTCTCTATTCAAATTGTCAAGCCTCCTGACTGCATTTGATTAGACTCCTGTTTTTAAAGTTATTTGAAGCAGCTTGATACTTCATGCTTCTGTTTATGATTAATCGGTATGCTCCATTTGGTATATTTGGTTTCAACTACTTATACTGGGTAAAACCAAGAAACACATCAGGGCTTCCAGAACTCACTCCAAGTCCTGGCTCCACAAGACAAAGAGAACTGCTCTGGCGGGCAGTGTCATTAAATGACATCAAACACTTTGTAAATCTTTCAAAAATTCCTACTCTCTATCAAAACTACCATAAAACTACCATAAAACATGAACCCCATCTGAAAAATAACCAATTATTTAAGAGATCTTGGACAGTCTTTGCTTATACTTTCCAAGGGCATTTCAGCACAGAATTGGCAAGTTACCTCATTCCCACTGACTACAACAAACTCCGAGAGCGTGCCTTGTTTCCAGGGAGGAACCGCAGCCCAGACCTGAAACACACACACACACAATTTCATTAGAAACAGATCTTTTTTAACCAAAGCCAAGCATGAGGGTGTTCCCCAGTACATACCTCACTCTGTGAAAAAAGCACCAGTCGTCAATACGCCAAGCAAAAGAGTTATTTACACATGATATAAATGTATCGCTTAGTATGATTCTGGATTTATCAAGTCAAACCACACTAGAAGCAGATGCCAGTAAATCCTGCTGTATTTAGTGACTACCTAGAGTATCAGAAAGAGGACAGCCACTTGGGGCTTGAATCCCGGCTCCACCACTCAAGAGCTGTGGGACCTCTTTATAGCCTGGCTTCCTCATCTGTAAACTGGGCCTAACTGCACTTACTTCATGGGGATTAAACGAGTTATTTCATGGAAAGCAACTACAACAGTGTTAGCTATTATTATAAGCTCACTTTAATTTCTTGGCATAAAAGTTCAAAGTGACAAGTGACAGCTGATTACACCAAACTTTAGCTATTTTAAAACCATCTAACCCATAAAGAAGAAATTGTCGTTTAAAGACTCTTTCAAGAAAAAATAAAAAAGTACCAATCATACACATTTTAAAGTCTTGCAATTCTTAAGCACTAGACTTAGAAAGCTCCAGTACAGTCATGCTATTTTGACAGAACCAAGAAAACGAAGGTCCTAGCCAAAGCTCAGTATATTTGCTGAAAATAAGAAAAAGGTCAATGACATGGAATATACTTCCAAAAGAATGAAATTTGCATATTTAGAAAGGAATAGAGGCATTCTCTGACTCACCTCATCTCCAGGCTTGAAGTACCTCACATCAAGTCCACATTCCATCACCACACCAGAGACATCCCGACCCAGAGTCAGGGGAAACTCTTCTCCTTTGGTTCTAATATGTAAAGGATCACGTTTCATATTTAAAGCTGTAGCTCCATAACCACCTATAAAATACAATTTATGGGTTGGTTCCTCCAAAAGAATGGGATAACTTAAAAATCTACTATAGGGTTATAGGTCAGGTACCATTCTAGATCCTCAGAACATAGATTATAAAGTAATCGACCTTAGAATTTTTTACCACGACACAGGAAAGCATAAAAACAATGAGTGCTGTTTCTTTCAAAGAAAATTACTTGGAAAGTTATAATCACTTGTTAAACTAAAGCTACTATTGTTCAAAATGTTTTTGAAATTCCCATTTTGAAACTGTCTCCAGAACTTTCAGTATTTTGTTTTATACAGTTTTACTTTGTTCTTTGAAGATGGTTTCTTTATTAATTTATTAATTCATGAACTTTTTATACAATGAAGTTGTTTGGTGCCAAGTCTGGTGAAGAAGATAAATGCTAAAGCTGTTTGAAGTTAATAAATAAATAAGGCACAGATATGGTGTCTGACGTTGACACTGGTCTATGAGTAATGGTCCCCACCTCCCAAAAAATGTTTCTAGAACATCTTTGGATCAAGTGCATAGATTCCCGAGTGGAAGAGAACCACCTGGCTGCATCTGTTCTGATATGTATAATAAAGCAGTTAACTTGATTTAACCTATCTTTTTATTTTTAAGAATATTTACATAAATATCAGCTAAGTAGAGCTGAAAATACTCTTCTGATCATAGTATTTTCGTTCAAATAAATTGGCTACTCTATCTACCACAATCCAAAATAGTTTATTCCACAGCTTTAACACATAAAATGGCTTTTCTAATGCACAAAAGTATCTGTTATAGTCTCTTCTGCTTGACATCTTTCTGGGAGAACATTTCTGCTATTCAAGATAAGTACCCTTCAAGATAAGCTTACCTTCCCAGGTCATGTACCACAATCTATGCTTCGGAATCACTAAACCACTCTGTAAGTCTCCTCTTTCCCCCACCCACTCTCAGGGACAGTACAACATTAGATCTTAAGGATGAGGAGAAACCAGCAGAGGAGCCTGAGAAGGCTTGGCCAGTGAAGAGGTGTCTAGAGAGTCAAGGGAAGGGGTTGTTTAAAAAAATCAAATGCTGTTGACAGGGAAGACAGTTCTTCAAATAAGATCAAAAGCTGACAACAGCCTTTCAAAACAAAAACCAACCCAAAACAAAAGACTGGACCCAACAACACAGAGGTCTTTGGTGACCTTGACAGGAGCACTCACTGTGGCATAGGGTGACAGGATGGGAAGTGAGAACATCCAACTCTTTCAAATAGTTCCGCTATACAGGGGAAGAGAGAAATGGCACAGTGGCTGGAGGGGAGCAACAGAGATGGAGAGAGGATCTTTTAGTGTATTTTTCCTCTCTTTAAGATGGGAGAAATAAGGGCAAGTTCGTATGCTAATGGGAATGCTTCAGTAGAAAGCAGAAGACTGAAGATGCAGAAGAGAACTGCTGAAACAATGCTCCTGAGGAGGCTCAAGGGGATGGAATCTAGAATTCAGGTGGAGGGCTGGCCTTAGATGGGAGCAATGACAGCTAATCCACACAGCAGGAGGGAAGATGGAGGATACAGGGAGAGATGCTGACAGGTGGGTAGCTTGAAGCAGTTGTTTTTCTAATAAAAAATCAAGACACAGGGGAGAAAGTGTTTGAGACTGAGATAGTTCCAGAAAATCTAAGCTGATGACCATCATGCCAACATTACCCAGTTACCATCTGGCTGGTTAGAGTACACTCCATCAGGGAAAAACACAACTTCACATGTAACACTCATAAAAGTCACATGTTTTACTTTTCCTGTCTTACATTCCTCTTCTACCACTAAAACACAATGAAATAATCATTCACTGAAATTCCTATGTGGTTTGAGCAGAAGAAGTGGGCATTAAGCCATGCCAAACTTTAGCTGCTGTTTCAGAGCTGCAAAAAGACCAGAGGCCTCTCTGAGGTACAGAGCCTGCAGGGTAAAGGCTGTTTAAACAGTTTTCTTGGTCACCTGGATATGCTAATACATCAACTGAGCAGCCCTGGCTCACTGGTACTGGCTAAACTAGCCCCAGATCCAGAATGCAGCTCGTAGTTAGTAAATGAGAACCCACTGGGTGACACAAATGAATGGGAGCCCTTAGGAGCTTCATCCCATTGTTAGAGGTGGCCAGTGTGACTGGCTCAGAGAGTTGGAATGATTTGGAAAATCCTAAATCTATCATCAGTTTCAAAGACTTTAAGCCTATCTCAACAAACCAAGTTTTGTTGGTATGATGCTGGTGGCTGTATTTTTTTTCCTACCTTAAAGTTATTCATTTCTTTAGCCATTTATATTTATGATTTTATGTCCAATAATTGTGGCCATCTCCAGAAAAACAGCCTGCCTTCATCTCTCAAAATGAAGTAGACATGTCCTTGCTTTCTTGTCAAGGGAAATAACTGCTTCCTACAGTTTACAATCTTCTACTCATTATTTTATTTCCCCAAGCTACCATTTCAGCTATCTTCCGCAACAACAATCACACTTTCTCAAAAAAGAATCCATGAGCAGGAAATAAAGAGGATAATTTGCCAATAATATTACCCAGTCAAGTCATAAAAAACTATGATGTCTCAAGAATACTGTATAAAAGTAAAATGTATTATAGTATTATATTATTAAATAGCAGCTGAGAAAGCCCAGATCCAGCCATTCAACTGAAATTAAAATGTACACAATACAAACTGTGCATGTGCATTCAAAGAAATGAAAAGTTGACAGATCTAAATGAAGACAAAATGTAAAAATTACTCATGGATAAGATACTGCTAATTTTAGTTTGCAACCTTAAGTTAGAATGAAAATATAAAATGACATAAAAATGACTGAATGACAGCTTCCAGTATAAATGGAATAAAGTAAAACAACATGCCCAACTAGCAGTAGCAATTATTACTTCAAAGCAAACAAAAAGAATACAAATGTGGATTTTGTGAGGCAATCATAGTAAAGTCATTTCGATCCATTAATAGAGCTCTCTAGCTACAGACACTTTAAGAGTCAAAGTCGTTCCCCAAAACCTCGTCCCTGAAAGGAAACATGTAATAGTGATTCTTCACGTTGTCTAGATTGGCATTGTCCAACAGAAATAGAACGCAAGCCACATATGTAATTTAAAATTTTATACTGGCCACTAAAAACGTAAAAAGAAACGAGTAAAATTGATGTTAATATTTTACTTAATATACCCAAAATATTAGCAAGTCAATATGTAATCGATATAAAATTACTAGACATCTTACATTCTTTTTTTCTTACTAAGTCTTTGAAATCCAGGGTGTGTTTTACACTAACTGCACATCTCAATTCAGATTAGCTACATTTCAATCGCTCAGTAGCCACATGTGGCTAGTGGCTACTACACTGGGCAGCACAGGTCTGGATATATTCACTCAGGTAGAAATAGCAGCATTAAAAATTGGAGATAAAAAACCTAAAGACAGTGAAACTAGACTTTATTTCCCTAATCCAGCAGTTCTCCAAGTTTTTACATCCCCACGATCTTTTTGAGGAGTCTAAGAGGTCCCTTCTTTTCCAACTTCCTATGTGAGGCTGGCTTTTCTTCACTTACTTCAAATAACATATTGCAACAGATTGAATACAGAAATACACATGAAAATCCACCTGTCTTATTAAACCAGAATGCAACAGTGTAAAACAGTGCTACTCTTCTCACTGATTTTTTTGGCTTACTTTGGGAAACACAGTTATTTTTCACTCTAAGTAAGCACTGTGAAGGTAGATCCTATGCTCTGTCAACTACTACCTGTCTCAGTGCTTTGCACATGCAGCTGTCTCTCAGTTATTATTTTCATGTCATTTTATATTTTTATCCTGATTCAATTTTGTAATGTTAACACAGTTTACTGTGTCTTGAAATAAATTAATATACTAAAACTTCTATTCTAATAAGGTAAATATTGATAGCTATAACTCACATAAACAAAAGCCCAATAACTATTGAGTATAAAGACATCTTAAGACTGAAACATTTGAGAACTGCTCTCTTAATCTAGCACGCGACTCCTGCAAAAAAAAAGAGGAAGAAACGAAGTCAAAATCTCAACACTTTCATATTTCTCTACAAATTCCACAAAATGATGCATTCTTTCATGAATCTTGATTTTGTAATTGGATATGTATACGAACAAAGCAATTTAACTCATCACGCATAGTTCACATAGGATAATTATCATTGAGGTTATCTGATAAGTAGAGCTGTAGGTTTACACACAAGGTCTTCAAAACACAGACCCATGGTTAAATTAAACCGCATCTGGCGGCTTTAGTTAGAAGACTTGGTTAATTGACCAATCATCCCAAAAGATGTTTTTTGATGTTTTCAGAAGACATGGATGAGTTCCCATAAGCAATACTTTTGTCATTCTTTTCCAAAGTTAAAGTAATTCACAAGTAGTAATCAATCTTCTCAGCACTATAATAATTGCATAGTATATAATATTTAAGGAATACAGTGCTCTCCAAGCTTTGTCAATATCCCAAGCAGAAATTGAGATGACAACATTGTTCCTATTCAGGCTGGTGCCTAACAAGAAAGTGTATTTCAACTGCCCAGGGCAGAATGCAACCGCAGAAATGAGGAAAGTACTGTCCACATCCTGGCATCCTGACCCGCTGCTTTGTCCACTGTACCAATAAAGAAAGCTGTGAGTAGCAGGAGAGCAAAGAATTATTATAAAAACGCAAATTGTGAACTGACATGAAAACATAACCATACCTCTAAAACCTGTGATGGACCTCAGAATACCACAAAGTTCCCAGGAGAGTATACCAGAAAGTTAGCTGTGGACAAAACTCTCAAGTCCCAATTTACATTTTAAGGAAGGATGGAAGCAATTCAAACATATTTTGTAAAAGATTAAAGTTTATGGACATTGCAATTTCAAAAAACTTGGAAATAACATCTGCTGAGACACTATCAAAAACCTAAACAACTCCTTTATGTTAACCAAAGAACTGTAGTCAAATAACAACTGATCTTTTAAAACTGATCCCTGATGAAATTCTCTGAGGAACTAAAAAAAACAAAGAAAAAGAGAGGTAATGAGGAATGTCTTTTGAAAACTTACTTCTCATATTAACATCTATAGGATTCACACTCGCAGCGTGAACTTTGATGATGACTTCATTTGGATAGTGTATGATGGGTATCATCATGTTCTGAGTAAACCGAAGCACTTCATTATTCCCATATTTATCTATCACCCAAGCCGGCATGACAGTGCTCCTTGAAGAGGTAGTACTAATCTTTCTAGCTGAAGACTTTTGTACAACTTGGCTTCTCCAGAAGCAAACCGCAGTACAGGCATGTCTCCGAAGTATACACGTCTTCAGAAATTCCATTGCAAACAGTGGTTGAACGGCGTGCCCTAATTAAAATGCACTTAGTTTGGATCAAACTCTCATCCCCGAATTTGGCCAAATTCTGCCAAATACACTGGCCGATTTCAAAGTTGAAAATTCAAAAATGACGTTAGCTCAATGGAGCGAATGAATGAATAATATGGAACTATTCTATTCGCATCTGCAATGCTCCAATTAACTTTCCAGTCAGTATTTTGTCCATTCTCCTCCTCCCTTCCAACCCACCCTCCAACAAAAACAAACTCCCTAGAACCCTGCCCTCTCCCGGGAGCCCTCGGTGGGACAAGCCGACTCCGCTCGCGATCCGGACGCCACAGAGGACCAGACGCTCCCAGCTTCCCGCCGCGACCCTAGCTCGGAATCTCCTTGTCACCCACTCTCCTTCCCCGCGGGACCCGCTTTGCGGCGCCAACCAATCGCGTGCAAAGATCATTTCCTCCTAAATGCAATTCGACCAATCGAAGTGCTCGGTGCTGAAAGGTTTCGTGACGATCAAAGATGGCTGCGCCCATGTAGTACCGGCAGCGGCTGTTGACCTTTATTTTTGCTCCGTGTCACCTGGCCCCTGTGGTGGCAGGCTGAGCACAAGGACCATGCTTGGCCGGACCCTCCGAGAAGTGAGTGGAATTGGCTGCTGAGGGCCCAGGGAGGTCGGAAAGATTCGCGAAGTCTGTGGGCGCGGAGTTCCCGGGCCTAACCGGGCATCTTGGGCAGCCTCGCCGGCTCCTTCCCCGGAACTGGGTGGGGATTCGGCCCTGTGGGCCCTTAGGCTGTATTCTCCATACCCGTGCTGGAGTTAGGACCTCAGCAGGGGAGACTTCTGCGCCGCGGAGCTGTGGGGTGGAAGTGTAGACTGGCTTCTCTCCATGAGACGTTTGCTGAGGCTTGGGTCAGGCGCAGGATGGTGTCTCGGGGTGGGCTCTGCCGGTCCACTTCAGTCTGTTGTGCCCCCAACACTCATCTGATGCAGTTCTCGCTAAGGGGCCCCCCAAATCTGTACTTTGCAAAACCCAAAGGAGTAATTCTTGGCTTTTTTTCCGCCCGTGATATATTCATTCTCTTCTCCAACCACCACTAGAAACCAATGCTTCCCTTAACCGTGTCTCTATTTCCTCGACATCGTTTTTGAACTCTAGGCTATATTTGTGAATGCCTCCTGGACATCTCTTCCAAATGTCCCATAAGCAGCTCAGACTCAATTTGACCGAAGTTGACTTTATCATTGTAACAGGACCACCTCTTACCTCTCAACCTCCATCTTAAAAGACAAACAGAAATCTTAATTTCTGCATTCCTAATATTCTCTTTTTAATGCCACAACTGTTATCCCCGTTGCCCTTAGATTCTTCCACATCTGTCACATCCAATAAATCACTAAGCCCTGTTAATTCTATTTTGTAATTATGTCTGGAATCTGTTCTCTCACTTTATCCCTGCTGTTGGGGCTTTAAGTCAGGTCTCCTCGCTTTCTGGCCTCATCTCACAACCTTTAGAACTGTCTGCAGGCCCACTGTTGTAAGAATCACCTCCGACCATTGTTAAAATTACAGCTGTATCCCACTCGGGCAGAGCTGTGTGTTAAGGCCCAGAGTATATGGTTTTACCAGGGCTCCAGGTGATTCTGCTAAGTAAGATTGAGGCCCTACCGTGCCTTCCATCTTCCTTTTGTATCTTCACCTGGAAAGTCTTTTTTTCTCCCCCAGCTGGCGGCTTTTTAGAAAGCTATACATTATAATGAGACCTTTAAATCCACAGACTTTGAATAATAAATAGTTCTTCCCCCAAATATATTATTGCTTTACCATCTTAAATTGCACCTGGCGTATACTGTCAGTGAAGAATCCAATTTGTTCTTAACAAAAAGAAAAGACACCCAAAACTTGTTTTAAAATGAAGTAGGACCTGTAAAAATACAGTATTTTCTTTTTCTGCCCTTTCCCCCCTTCAGGGCTACCTTTTTCGGGGCACCCTTTCCTGATGTTGAGTGAGCCATTGTGAGAAACAACTCTTACCTCAAGGGGGTAAAAATATTTCAGCAAGCAGACCCAAAGGCACACAGGAGGTCACCTTGGCATGATTACTTTCACTTAACCACTCTTTTAACAAATATTTATTGATGCCTACTGTGTGCAAAACATTATTTGATGGTTGTTTTCGCAGCCCAAAATATATCTTATGTCCACTCTGCATTTTTTTTACATCGTTCTACTAATGCCCCAAATTCTACCAATTAGAAATTAATTAACTTAGTACACATTCTATTTTAAATAAGTAAAGATGCCTAGGAGGGTTGAATGATTTATTCATCCATTGCTGTAAATTATAATAGTTCAAATTTCTCTCCTTCATCATACCTTAGTTGAGATAATCAATTGAAGAAAGGGAAAATTTGCTGGGGAGGAAATTAGGGGGAGGGGCTGGAAACTGGGGAGTTTTGAGGCAATTTTGGGGACCTAAGAGGAGGCTTAGGGCCACTGAGGAGCCCTGGGAGGAAGCACTAAAAGGAGATAAATTACCAAATAGGAGGTAAAACTCCTATTTGTAAATTTTACCCACAGATATTCAGGAAGGAAGAGGAGTCTGACTTTTACCTTCCTTTGTTGTGACACAATCTCAGTGTTTCTAGGAGCCAGGCTAATATTAACCCTAATTACCCAGGCTAATATTAACCCTAAATTTAATTATATATCCAATAGTCTTCTTGGGGGTCTAGCCTAAGAACACTTAATTATAGTTCTATGGGAAAATAGATTCCAAGTTTTAAATAACTCAGTTATTCATTCATTCAGCTAACATTTGTTGAGTACCTCTGTGTTCCAGACACGGGCTTAGCATTGAAGACAGACAGAATCTCCTGCTCTCATGAAACCTACATTTTTGTGGGAAAGCAAACATTAAATAAGTTTTTTCTTTTTAAGTAAATAATATAATTTCAAATAGTATAAGTGCTGTGAAGAAAGATTAAGCAGGTTGTAGTGTGAGAATTAGTTGGGGGAGCTGCACGTTTTAGTTAGAGTGGTCAGGGAAGGTTTCCTTGACTGAGTAGGTGATATTTTTTTTTTTTTTCAAAGATTGACCCTGAGCTAACATCTGTTGCCAGTCTTTTCTTGTTTTTTCCTTCTCCTCAAAGCCCCCCAGTACATAGTTGCAGATCCTTCTAGTTCTGCTGTGTGGGACACTGACTCAGCATGGCTTGATGATGAGTGGGTGATGTTTAATAGAGACCTGAAGGATATGAAGGGCGAGTCCTGGGAAGATCTGAAAGAAGAGTGTTCCAGGCAGAGGGAACAGCAAATGCAAAGACTGAAGCAAGAGTAAGCTTGCCATGTTCAAGGGATAGCGAGAAGGCCAGCATGCCTGGAGAGAAGTGAATGAGGAGGAGAGTAGTGGAGGTGAGGTTAGAGAGAAGCAGGAGGCAGATCATGGAGAACCTTTGAGGCCATGGTAAGGAGAGCAGATTTTATTCTAAGTGTAATGGGGAAGCCTCTGGAAAGTTGTGAGTCTGTAGACATGATCTGATTTAAAATTTAAAAAGCTCCTTCACGCTACTCTTAATGGTAATGGTCCATAGGAAAGCAAGTGAGGAAGCAGGAAGACCAGTTAGAAGGCTGTTGCATTGGCAAGAGATGATGGGAACATAATAGATGAATAGATGGCAGGAATAGAGGTAATGTGAAGTGGGTATTGCTTTTTAAGTTGGGGCTTGCTGATGGATTGGATACGGAGTTTGAGGGAAAGAGAAAAATCAAGGAAGATGCTTGTGTTCTGGGCCTGGGCAGTTGGGGAAATGAAAACATTTATCAAGATGGGAAAGACTAATGGGAGCATGTTTGTGAGGAGAAAGTTATCAAGATTTCTGTTCTGGGCATGTTAATTTTGAGATGCCTCCTAGATACCCAAATGAAGATGTCAGTTAAGCAGGTGGCTATAGAAATGTGGAGATCAAAAAAGAGGCTAGGGATGAGGATGTAAATTGGCAAGATTATAGAAGATAATTAAAGCTATACGGCCAGATGAGATCACCTGGGAAGTTGAATGTAAAAATAGAAGAAGGCCTAAAACTTTTCAACATTTAGAGGTCAGCAAGAGGAAGCAGAGCCAGCAAAAGAGACTTGAAGGAGGGGCCGGCCTGGTGGCACGGCAGTTCAGTGTGCACACTCTGCTTCGGCACCTAGGGGTTTGCTGGTTCAGATCCCGGGTGCAGACATGGCACCACTTGGCAAGCCACGCTGTAGCAGGTCCCACATATAAAGTAGAGGAAGATGGGCACGAATGTTAGCTCAGGGCCAGTCTTCCTCAGCAAAAAGAGGAGGATTGGCAGCAGATGTTAGCTCAGGGCTAATCTTCCTCAAAAAAAAAAAAATGAGAGAGAGAGAGAGACTGGAAGGAATGGCCAGTAAGGCAAGAGGAAAACCAGGAGGGCTTAGTTTCCTGAAATATTCAAAGGGAGAGTGAGCTCTTAAGTTGAATGGTGCTGGACTGCCCAGTGTCTACTGGGTTTAGGAACATGGAGGTTGCTGGTGATCTTGACGTACTATTTCTTGGAACAATGGAGACAAATGCGTAAATGTTAAATGAGTGTGTTAGAGAGAGTACCAGTCAACTGGACACTCAGCCCTCAAGGGCTCTGCCGTACCTTCAGCATTTATTTATCAAGACAATTTTCTTTTTGAAAGGCAGTTCCTTTGCTAAGTGAACCCTTGCTGCTATCTGTACAGTCAGTAAAATGTTTTGCACTTTGTTAGAGAGGAGTCAGTGCTGTCACACCTTGCGTAGAGGAGCAGGTTACAGTGGTCCAGAGCAAGGGGCCTGGAAACCAGATCAGGCCTTGGTTGAATCACAGTTCTACTTTCTAGCTATGTGATTTCAAGCAGGAACTTCAGTAATTTACCTATAAAATGGAAATAATAATAATAATGTCAGCCCCTTAGTGTGGATGTAAAGATTAAATGAAATATAAAGTAGGATAATGGCTAGAACTAAGTGCTATTATTAACACTAATTTTGTTACAGGGACAAAATTATTAGATGATACGTATTTACAGTTTTCTCTTTCTCTGGTTTCTAAGAAGAGTGGTCCTTGAGGAAGATTTCTTAATTTTTCTAAGACGGCATATTACTTGTCTATTGCTGCCTAACAAATTAGTGTGAACTTTTTGGCTTAAAATAACACAATCATAAAAAAAAAAAAAAAAAGCCACCGTTATCTCACAGTTTTGTGGGTCAGGAGTCCGGGACTGGAGTAGCTGCGTTCTCTGCTCAGTCTCAAAAGGCTGAAACCGAGGTGTCAGCCAGGGCTGCGGTCTGAAGCCTCAAAGTCCTCTTTCCACCTCATTGTTTGTTGGCCATTTC